ATGTACACGTGATTTACTCTATATATATAGAGAGACTAAATGAGTATGTTTTATGTGTAGGGGTTAAAATATTAAAATTGTTTAAGTATATAAATCAAAATGTAAAAATAATATAAGTATTAAGATTAGAAATTTAAAATGTAAAGCAAAGCGTGTAATATGCAAGGCAAGTGAGGAAGTGTCTTATGCTTCAAATTTCACAAAATGCATAATACCCTTTATAATCTTGGTTAATAATTACTTAGTTAACTTTTATCCTTATAATATATCAACTAAAAGAGTTAAAATTCTCAAGATCCTCAACCATTCATCAATTCATATCAACTAAAAGAGTTAAAAGCTTCAAAGTAATGAATATTTCTCTCTATATATATATATCTCTTGCAAATATAATAATTTATTTATATTCTTTCAATCATCTCAGTTTTTTTTTCTCTATTTTTCTATCATTTTTATATTATTTTAATTTCATTTACTATATGGAACCATATTGTTGTTTTTTTTTTATTTAAATTCAAAATTTCTAAATATTGAGGGAAGATAAATTAAAAAAATATTGTATTAACCTTGAAATTTTTTTAAGAATTGGTGAACATTTTAATATTAACAGTCATGATTTATTTTTAAAATTAAAAATATTGAAAAAAGTATTAAAACAACAAATTAACATTCCAACAGAAGTATTGCATTATATTAAAAAAATTAGTTTCTTTTTCAAAAAATTATATATTATTTATAAAATATAAATTATCACTTAACAATTGTCATCATTAAGAGAAAATTTTCAGAATTAAAATTATTTAAATCTTATTTAAGATCAATAATGTTACAAAATAATTGGATGGATTAATCATCTTTTATAGTGAGTGGAATGTTAAATTTACTTAATTATAAAACACTAATAAATAATTTAGCAACTAAAAAAAATTTAATGTACAAACTAATAATTTATAATTTTGTCTAAAAAAATTATCTTAAACCTTAATTTTTTAAACACGACCTTGATATAAAGCACAACACATATTAATGTTACATTAATCTTATATCATTTATTATTAATGACATTTAACTTTTTTTTAAAGACAGACCAAAACGAAACTAAGAGGGATGTATTGGTTTAGGATTTCGTAGGATTTTAAAAGACTTTTTTTGAGTAAAAAAGTCCATTGGTATTCAATTAGGATTTTATGTCACTTAAAAACAATCCAGTGGTATTCAATCTGGATTTTCAAGATTTTTTAAAGAGTCCATTAAAATCCACTGGTATTCATTTGAGATTTTTTACAACTTAAAAACAATCCATTGGTATTAAAAAATATAAGGATTTTAAAGGATTGTTGTGTGAGAGGGATTTTGAAGGACTTTCTAGTGTTATCTATAAATACCAGATTCATAAAACAATCCCATCCAAACCCATCGGATTTTGAAGGATTGTTTGAAGTGATTTTTCAAGTGTTTCAAGAATTTTCAAGTGAGTTTTTCATCTTTTTTTTTATTCAGAAAGAAATAATAAAGAAAAAGGAAAAGAGAAAGAAAACTATGAAGCTTGGACCAAGGAGGATTCTGATGAATTGTTACAATTGATAGTGGATGTTATAAAAAGAGGATAGGATATTATGGAGAATTATTATTATTATTTATCTAGACATTATTGTTTTTTTTATATTATTTTTGTCTTTGACTCTTTTTAAATTTGAATGTATGATTTTTTTTTTAAATCTTATCAAATGTCAAAACTTCACAAAATCCCACAGAATCCATTAAAATCCTGATTTAAAAGTCTTGCAGAATCTATTAAAATCCTGATTTTAAGTCTTGTAAAATCTTGCAAAATCTTAAAAGTCATGAAAATCCTGCAAAGTCTTTTAAAATCCGCAGGATTTTTTTTAACTGAAAAAGTCCTTTAAAATCCTAATCCAATACACCTCCCTAAATGCAATGGATAACTTTTAACAGTAAGAACTAAATAATAATAATAATAATAATTCTGTGCGACTAATTTAAATTGAATACAAATACTATACTTTTCATTCACGGTTTGGTCGTAAAGTTTGAATTCCAAATACTACTATTCTACGCTGACTCATCTATCAACATAAAATACTTACATATACTAATTAAAACATAAAATAACGCGTGATTTAACTTTTTTTAAAGACCCACTAAAAGGAAACAAAATACAATGAATAATTTTTAACAGTAAGAACTAAAAAACAAAAAATAATAATAATCTTGTTCAACTAATTTAAATTAAAAACAAATATTATATTTATGTAAAGTTTGAATTCCAAGTAAAAAATTTGAAAAATAACGAACGCGCCAGGTAGGGGTCGAACCTACGACTTTCTGCTTAGGAAACAGACGCTCTATCCACTGAGCTACAGGCGCTTATATGCGCAAAGAAAGGACATAAATGTTATATATCACTTAGCAGTTCTACAAAAATATTATTTACATTTTTTCTCCTTCTAATCCTCTTTAACAAAATAAAAAATCCAACTAAATAAAGAGAAAAAATGAGAAAGAAAATTATATATCTATACTAATAATAAAGGAAGTTGGTCCCTTTTATGTACATTTTTTTATTTATAATTTTGTCCTTAAAGTTAATTTTTAAATTATTATTTGATTTTATTAATTTTTTTAAAAACAGTTTAAAAATTACTCTTACAATTGTAATGGCTCACTTTCTAATTATTTACTGTTTAAAAAATATACAGGAGTAGGAAGTATTTTTTATATATTAGTAATAATAATTATGATAGAATATAAGGTTATTATTTGTTTTTTAAGTCCTGTTTATGTTATTATCTTACATTTAGATCTGTTCTGAAATAAGTTGGTGAATGAGATTGCTTCTTGAAGGCAATAAGAATCATGATAGGAGATATATACATTATAATACCTAAATAAGCTTTTGATGGATATGGAATGTGGAAGACAGGAATGGCAACCAAGTGTAGGCCCCTTAATTAGGTTGAAACAATCTTGATCTAATCTATGGGCATGATGGGGATTATGATTGGTTGCTCACTCATTTGATTTATTAATATTGATTTCATAACTATTTTCACTTGTTTATGCTGCTTGCTTTTCAATGATTAATGTAAAAACTGTCTCATCAAGTTATCATTTTCTTTAGAAAACTCACATAATGAATGATGAATATGATGACTATATTTATAAATGGTATGTGGTGTATGATATCGTTTTAACTTAGATCTTAGGATTAAATAGTCAAATGCTAACTTAAATTCTATGCAATTTAGATTTAATTTAATTAATGCTTTATAATTTTTTTTAATCAAATGACCAAAACTGGCGTTTGAATAAATTCATGAAAATAATATTCTTTTTTTATATTTTATAAAATTTATGTTTTTTTAGATGAAATGTTTGAGGAATATCGAAAAACACATTTACAAAACATTTACAACGCTATATTTAATATTATTTGGATAATAAAAAATCCCAAGACACACACACACACACACACATATATATATATATATATATATATATATATATAATTAAAAGAATGACTGACTCACAAAAAAGAAAGAATGAAATAAATTTAAAACATTCATTGTACAGAGATATAAGTGAGTTTCAAGTTAAAAATTAAACCGGTTTAATTTGTTCCTAAATATTTATTGAGTAATAATTTTCATTTTTCATTTTTCATTTTTATATTTATAATTTTTTTTTTATTTTCAACTCTTAAGATTATGTACATTAGTTTTATCTTAATCTTCTACAACTAACTTTTTTTTCCTTCTTAACTTATTAATTTTCATTTCATAATTTCTTAAATTATTTATTATTATTATTTTAAAATAGTACAAAATAAATACTCCTCTAATGTTATTAATTTTGTACGCATGGTTTAAGGTATTTCTTTTATGAAGCTAGTAATATTTATTTTTGAAGATTTTTTTTAGAAAATAATTATAGAAAAATATTAAAATTTAAAAATAGTTAATCATAAAAATTAGTAAGTGGATACTTTTTATTTTATGTATTAAGGAGAGTTAGTAGTTTTAAAAAGTGCCTTATTTAGGAGATAAAATGTCTAATTTAAAATGGAAATAAAAAGCAATTATTACTTAATTGTATTTTTATCATAATATATATATATATATATATATATATAGAGAGAGAGAGAGAGAGAGAGAGAGAGAGAGAGAGAGAGAGAGAGAGAGAGAGAGAGAGAGAGAGAGAGAGAGAGAGAGAGTGAGAGTGAGAGAGAGAGAGAAAAAAAGAGTTATCACATAACTAACTGCCCTTTTACAAGCACAACTCTTAAAGTAGCAAAACTTCCATATTAATCTTTTTCTTTTCTAAACTATATGATCTTTCTAATATTTATATTTATTTTGGTGATGAATCATCTTCTGATAATTTTATTTAAAACATTTATTATTCTTCGAATCTGGTTATTCCACTATCAAATCCAAATATCAAAGTTGTAGAAAAATTAAAAGAATACAATTACTTCAAATTAAGGTCCACAACATATTAAGAGAAATGTTATACTAGCAATACACTTTTTAATTCAATATACTTTTGAATTGTTTCTTAGTAAACAAAAATTGTTAGAAATTTTGGGTCTCATAAATGATTATCTCTCCTAATTTTATCATTTTTAATAACTTTTAACTATCAAGATAGAGTGCGGTAGAAATGACATGTTAGAGAGTAACGTGGGTATCTTCTTTACCCTTCTCATATATATAAATATGCTAACCATAGATCTATGTAACATATCATAGCAATAGGCCAATAGCTTGTCATGATTTCATTGCTTTTTATGTGAATTCTGAATTCAAAATCAATAATGATTCTATCTGCTTAACCTTTAGGTCCCCGTTAAACACAAATGACAAAACTAAGCTCATTGCAGCTCGTGAAGGATTTGAGTCATGCTTAACGACAAAAATAATGATACAAAATTTAACCATCACTTGGAGAAGAGAACAGTAGTAAGAAAAGCGAATATGTTGAGCAACACAAAAGTGATTAATTAATGACATTATACTTTTCTCAACACAAAATTTATCTTCAATTGAGTACAGCCTCTCCTTGTATATATCCGGTAGATACATTGGAACATCATTTAGATCCACCAACAAGAAAATATAAGAAAACGGAAAGAGGGTAGAGTTTGGAATACATATGTTCAAAAGGCGGATTCGTGAAATCAAATAAAGTAAAAGAAGAGAAGGAAGGAAAACTTAGGAGAAGGTTATGAATGTTACAGGATGCAAATCAAACATGAATACCAATTAAAGAAAAACGCATGTTCTGTTCTTCTTTCTTTTTTTCTTTGGTTTTGGTGGCTGCAAAACAACCTTGATTGCAGCATCAAACACAGCCTTCACATTCTGAAATATTGCAGCAAGACATAAAATTAGGAAGAGGCTAAAACTTTATTTACTTTCTAGTTTGTTGCACAAGTTGATATAATTATAGAGTGACTTTCATAGTTATACACTAATAAACTATCTATCACAACCAACATGATGCTATGTACCAAATTCAGTGCCTTCCAAGAAAGATACTTCAGACTCAAAATTTAAAAAATAAATAAATAGCTTACAAGAGTGGTCTGACATGTAGCAAAATGACTAAAGTGCAATGGTTACTTTACAATTGAGTTAAAAAAAGATGTTTTCACTATATATTTTTATTCTTGATAGATACTTAGGTGAAATGATACAAGAAAAAGATGTGGACACTATTTTGTTTTTAGAACCACTTTTTTACCTTTAAAGCACGTACAGATATCTGTTCAAATTGTGCCCACTTAGACCTTTCAGCTGCAATTTACTAAAGATATTTTGTATGATTTTATAATGCATCTACTGCTAGTTGCTTAGGTGAGTATATAAAACCCGAGAATTATTAGGTGGTCCTGAACTACATGATTTCTAACTAGTCTTTAAATGACATGTAATCAAGTGTTATTAAAGTTTTTCGTAGATTGAAAAACTTAAATACATATTATATAGTGATTGATGAGACCATGAACACTTGGTAGTCCTAAATTTCCTAATAATTTCTCCTAAAACCTTGTTTGACTGTAAGTATTGGAAAATAAGAACCTGCTGAGTCTTTGAGCTGCATTCTATGTACACAGCAGCACCAATTGCCTTCTTCAGCTCTTCTCCCTGCCCAAATTTACAAGATTCAGGTATATTGGAATTGGAAAACACAACCAAAAGAAATTCTATGTCAGCAACAAGAAAAAGGGTCTTTGTTAGAGCATAAACATAAGTAACTTGCCTGGGCAGTAGTTATAGGAGTGGCTCCAGGATGATCAATCAAATACTGCCTGTCTTCCCTTAAATCTGCAGCCAATTAAACATTCCATAACTATGAAATGACACTACTCGTGAACTTGTAGGTAGCTTAAGCAATAGCAAAATGTCAAGTAATTTTTATAGTTTTAACCGATACCAAGTTTGGTTCCCACAAGTACAATTGGCACAGTTGGGGCATAATGTCTCAGTTCAGGAATCCACTGCATAAAATGGGCCTATTGTCAGATTCTATTGCTGGAATTATAACATATATCAGTATATCACAGTTCACATACATATATAAGATGTTATGTATGCGTGTAATATCAGTAAAGGTTTATTTGGATAAGTTTCTCTAGAAATACTTTTTAAAAAGAGAAAAATTTGAAAGAAAATCAAAATGAATTTTTTCATAAGTTGAGATTAGTTTATACATGAGTTAAAAATAAGATTTTTGAGAAGTTAATAGAAAAGAACTTCTACAAATTAGTTTGTGAATAAGTTAATTTTAACTTATAAACAAGTTTATTTCATTTTTTTTCTCTAAGAAGTGTTTTTTGGAGAAGTTTACTCAAACAGACCCATTGGTGTAAATGTTTCATCAGAGAGGGAGAATTAAAGAAACTTTCAAAAGAACCTTCTTAGAGATGTTCTCATAGCTGGCTCTGCTGAGAAGGGAAAATGCAAGCAAAAACACATCTGCTCCTCTATAGCTCAAAGGCCTAAGCCTGTTGTAATCCTCCTGTCCTGAATTTATGAAGCTACAATAAATGAGTAAAGCATGGAATAATAATAACTATATCAAGAATTAAGGAGTTTAATTTCAACAGCATACAATTTCAGTTAGAGAAGCCTACTTTTCTCACAATAAACTAAGCACACTGCAATACAACTTCATGGTAATATAGCAGTGAGTGGAGAGTACTTTCTTTATCACCGTCAGAAAGTACTTACCAGCAGTATCCCATAATCCCAGGTTAACTGTGCTGCCATCAACCACCACATTTGCACTGAAGTTGTCAAAAACTGTAGGCACATAGTCCTGTTTTTGGGGTTATTTTTTCATTCGACAGAGAACAAGTGAGCTTTTTATTGACCAAACACAAACTAAAACTCGCATTCAAAACAACTAAATATCATGTATTGCCATACCGTGGGGAATGTGTTGCTAGTGTAAGATATAAGCATACAAGTCTTTCCCACAGCTCCATCTCCCACAGTAACACACTTGATGAATCTTGCTGTACTCATTTTCAAACACTTGTCTAATTTCCTCACCTCACAATCACATCAAAGCTTCCTCTAACATTCTATTTCTTTCATCACCACAAGTTCCTATATTCCTTTCACTTGAGCAAGTGTGATCCTTAGAAATAAGGGAGAGAAGGCAAAAGTGTCTACTTGAATTTTGCATAGAAATGGAGGGTATGATCAGCATTTAATAAGCCAAGCCCCTCAGCACCAACTTTAGTGAGCCTCTTTTATCTTGACCATTATTGCATTTGGCTTTCTGTTTCTTTAAGGGGAAGGCCAGAGCAGCAAAGGAGTGGTTTGGTGTTGTAGTGGTGTTAGTTGGTTAAGTATTGTACAAGGGAGAGAGCGAATAATAATTAGTATTTAGAACATAAGCATTGCTTGGGCAGTGAGAACCCAATATCTAATGCTACAAATGAGAATCATTAATTAGAATTGGAGAAAAAGAAAAGTTGATGGTAAAAACTCAAGTTTGGACAATACCAAACCAAAAGCAGCATGGGATCAAGCTGCATTGCACTAGTGTGCCATACAGCGACAGGGACTCTAAATATTTTACCAAGTGGAAGTGGGTGGATGAGTTTGACACTATGGTTCATGGAAAAAAAAAATATTGATTTCCAAGTCACCATATCACTGCCCAAATGATGAATCAACGTTCTGTTCTTGGCCTTGGTGGATCTATCCCCATCTTTATTCGGTGGTTAGTGTTATTGAAGACCCACCAATGTGTTTTTATTTTCATTAGTAAAGCAAGCTTTTTGACATTTCATAATTTTATATATTAATTAATAATATGTAAGGCAGTACAATATTATTGAGTTCCAACTGTGATTTCATTAATTTGTAAGCAACTAGTATTTTTTTTTCAAATAAAACTTTAATTCTGGGTTACTGTTCACACACTTCATAGGGAAGAAAGAGAACAATTCCAATCACCAAACCCTAAAAGTTGTGTGTTGAATACACAAGTCAAACGTAAACTTCATTAGTACAACGCAAATGCAAATATTATAATACTATTCTACCACCTTTTTTTTGCCCTCTTGGTTTGGATTCTTTTTCACTTTCTTCTATCTCTTTAAGTTTGTGATATTTTGGTCTTCTTTTGTTCCATTTTCATGCGCGCCTCACTTAAAGTTAGCTTTGACATGTTGAATGCATCATCATGTGAATGACGAGTTTCCTTAAGCTAGACAACAGCTCCAATAACCATGGCTTTAAAATGATGATTTAGTATGAAAAAAGTATAGTTCAACCCTGTTTTGCAAGGTAGCTAGATTACTTTTGAATATATCTCATGACACGACCTCAGCCCATATATATGTCATAATGAAAAGGGACAAATCATGTCCCAACTCAAAATTTAAGTTTTCAATCTGCCAAGCAAGATATGCAATTATTATTATTATTATATGGTAAACAGCAACACAGAGTTGTTATTAGTCACGACATTATAATATCATATAACATAAAACATAAATAATTAACTTCTAACTCAAATGTCACTTTTTTTTATATATATAAAAAAAACTCTAATGCCGAAATGTGCTCCTTAATTTATACTAAATGATTTAGCAGATATATAATAAAAAGTAATGAAACAAATAAACAGTTTATCATGAATTAATGGAGTCCTTTTTATTTAAGTTTGAAAATAGAGAATAAAAAGAAAGTATAATTTGAAATTTCGTGGAACTTATATATGAGAAAATAGGATATAAATTTGTTGTGTAATGTATCATTCAATTATAAATTGTTATCATGTTATCGTATATAATAAATTCGTTAACTTTGATATATCGTAAAGGTTATATTAAATATAATTTTTAATTAATTTATGACATAAAAACTTTTTGTAGTTTATAATATGGTTTATTTTATTAAAATATTTTTTAAAATTAAACTTCAGTATAATTTATTGAATGAGTAAAAGCCACCTTATAAATCAAAGTTAACTTGAACTATAAATTTGTATGTAATTGTGACATTCAGTAAGAGTAGCAACATGGCAGTCCAACAATCATAAGCTCATCATATGGCCCTGATCCATATTTTGTTAGTGGTTTTGTGGATATCATCGCCGCAACTATTTCTGAATAATGCTCCTTCCACCCGATGCCAAATTCGATCAGAATGCATACTGTTTTTTTTTTTTTTTTTTTTTTGGGATAGATAGATTTTTTATTTTTATTTTTTGTTATAGGGATCGATGTTTTGGAAATGAGTTATATATTTTTTAAAAGTAATATTACTTGAATTGAAAAAATTTTATTACGAGAATATATATATATATAAATAAATTTTTTTTATTTTAAGAGTAAGTTTGTTTAATAATTTATATTTTATATCAAATTTTAACAATCTAATCGTTCAATTTAAAATTTTTAATATATAAATCAAATTTATAAATCGTTAATTCGAATATTATGAGAGCGTATACGTCTGCAATGAGTACAAGAAGTGAGTCAGGGTGGCACGCAAGTCATTACGCAGTTAAAGGGATATATTAGTATTAAATATAAATATTATTTTCATTCTCAAAATAACCTAATATTGGGAACTAGAATTACAAAACAAAACACATTAAAAAACAAAACCTTAATTTTTTTTTTTTTTTTTATTTTTTTTTTTGTTTTTTTTTTGTCTTCTCTCTCTCTCAAACGCAAACAATTCCCTTTCGTCTTCGCGGCTAGGTAAGGTTAATCACCTTCCTTCCCCTATATCTTGCCTATCTTTATTTTCTAATTTTTGTTATTCGAATCGTGAGTGAGGGACGATACTTAATTTAAGTTGATTTTGCTTCGCTTTCCACTTGATCCAATACCCATTGCTCTATTCATTCCCAATTTCCACTCTCTCGCAATTCCCCTAATTTTTGCCCCTTCTTTTCTTACACTGCAATTTCGTTTTGTGTTTCGCGTTGCTAAAAAATGTTAGGGCTGGAATCCCTATTTGAATTCTGAGAGCTTTCTGTGCGTCAAGTGCTTCGTGAATCCAATACGACCCACGACTCTCTTTATTTTTCCCATTTCACTATGCTCTTCGTACAAGTGAATTTGGCCTCCGTATTCAACACATTTTGAGCTTTATAATTTTATTTGTTTTGGGTCATGCACTGAAACTCAAACTAGTGTTGTTCTTTGCTGAAATTTTTTCTTTTTAACGGCTGCGCATCCTGTTATGAAAACATTGCATTGTATGCAAATGAGATCATATTTGCCTTTTCTTTTTTCACCTCTCTATTGGTGTGGCTTCTGGTATTTCCTGACATGGTCTGTTTTCGTGTAGCTTTTGTTCACATATGTTTGCTATGACATATCATTTCCAATGGGGTTTATTTGTCCTTTTACATGTTAATTGTTTTCTTACCTTTGTTTTTGCTTGGGAGCATCTCCATCTGTTTATATCTTGTTTTTTGGTGGATGCTTAGTGTTCTTGTTTATTATACTGAATTCCCGCTCTTGCATCCATGGTGAATGAATGAGGTTTTGTGGGAAATATCGTTGAAATTACTATTTAGGGATGGGAATTTTTTTTAGTTATTGTAGCAATGGAGGGAGGGGATGTATAATGTATTAATTGAAACTAAGGTACCGGGAACTTGAAATTGGATAGGAAAGTCACCCGGTATACAACGAAAATTTGAGAGGGAGAGAAGGTGCTGTGAAAATTTCTCCATCCTTAGAATATAATTGCTTTAGGCTTAAAGCAGTACATAAAAAGTAATGAATTTGAACAGAATTTTTAGTTGTCAACCCTGCAGACTATTGTTGCCGAGTCTCATTTTTCGTGGCTCTGACTTGTGTTGCTGGATCAATGGGTTTACCCATGCCTCCATTTTCCATTTAATGGCAGACTGCTGACTCCATGATGTAATCAGATCTAAGTTTGATTGAATATAGCAAAACCTCCTTGATGGCTTGATTTATGAGAATATAGCAAGTCCTGTATCATCTAGAAAAAAGAAGGGGGAAGGAAATAAAATGCTGTTTGCAATTTATGAGAATATAGCAAGTCCTGTATCATCTACAGATTGTTAGCTTTTTTCTCTTATAATATAATACATTTAACCTCATGATTCAACCTAAACCAATCCAAAAATGATTGTATTGGTCCGTTTTGCTAATTCATTTCAAGTGCATGGTCCAAGGAGAGTGACGTTGATTCTAGTAATATATTTTGGATCATAATGTTTGAACTTAGTTATATATGTTTTATGTTAGTCATTGCATTGTATGTTTGTTGTTAATTTCAACATGGATTTACATTGATATGCAGATATCATGGCTTTTGGTGATGATGTGCTGCATGACATGTCACATTTTTGTGATTTAATCATTTCACTTTCTTCCTGGCAATGTCCAGTTGATATTTTCTACTTTCTAGTGATGCACAATTTCGTATTCCCCCAAGTAATGGCGCCTCTTTTATATAATATACAAAAAAAAATGATTTTGATATTTTATCAATGCTTGGCCACGTCTTTGCATTTTTTCCCTGTTTGTGACATAGTTCTCATACCCTTTGCCTCCTATATTGATCGAGTAAGTATTTTTCTGGCAATTTTCCACAGGTTTCATTTCTCTTTATGTCAAAAGTTGTTCTACTACTGTATTAGCTGATCAAGAATGGTGATGGGAGCAGCAATCCACCGTAGGTTTCTTCTTCATTTCCACCCTATTCTGAACCGTTGTAATTTAGGTCGTTCAGTTTCTTCACTGCAAAAGCTTGAGCACGCTGTTAGAGTGGAAGTAGAAGCCAAAAACTATGTTAAAATTCCTGACATTCTCATTCCTTTGGAGACCTGCCAAAATTCAAATCCTTTTTCTTTCTTTTCTTCATTTCCTCAGAACTTACAAGTGCAAATTGTTGATGAAATGTTGCAATCTTTTATACCTATCAGACCACGCTCCAAGCCCCAGCTAGCTTATTCCTATCTTCTTTCTTACACCCTTCAAAGCTCCCATCCCTTCCCCCTTGCACTAGCTGTCCTACAACGAACTTTACGTTCTGGTTGCCTTCCTGTTCCTCAGACCCATGTTCTTCTCTCATCTGCTTGGTTGAACTGGCGAGGTCTGTCTCATTCTGTAGCTAATATTCTACTTCAGATGCAATCTATTGGATATCATCCTGACTGTGGGACTTGTAATTATCTACTATCATCTCTCTGTGCTGTTGATCAACTAGTGGAGGCAGTTAAAGTCCTGAGGGCCATGGGTGGGGCAGGATCTATTCCTGATTCAAATAGTTATGGCACTGTAATTGGTGCAATGTGCAGAGGGAGAAAGACTGATGAGGCACTGGTTTTGATGCAGCAAATGGTGGTGCAATATGGTTTAACCCCAGGCCAGGGAACACTGGTGAAATTGTTGGCAGCATTACGTGCAAACAGGGAGATATGGAAGGCTGTTGAGATGATTGAATTCCTGGAGAAAGAGGGTAATTCTGTTGGATTTGAGAGTTATGAGTTAGTGATTGAAGGGTGCTTGGAGAAACTTGAATATGTTTTGGCTGCAAAGGTTGCAACGGGGATGACAGAAAGAGGTTTTATACCATACATCAGGGTCAGGCAGAAGATTATTGATGGTTTGGCCAGTATTGATGAATGGAAGATAGCTTGTGCTGTGAGACAAAGATTTGCTGCACTTAAATCTTAGCTGTTAAATTATTTATAGTGGGCCAAGTACAATGCTTAATGCTGATCAAGTGACTACATGTAGCTAAGACTTGTGACTTTTGCAGTATGGTGTCACTGTTCTTTTCTCAATGACATTGCTGAGATTTTCTCATGCTCTGACGCAGAGTAATGCTGTATCAGTACAAGGATCTCAGAATTACAAAGCATTTGGGTGATGTCAAAGCATGGAACGGGGTGAGCATATTCAACAGAGCATGGTTTCGTTTGAATTGTGGAATTAATATTCCTACTTTGCCTAACTAAATTTGTTAGTTACTCTGTACCAAATTCAACAAAATTTGGTATAAAATAGATTTTTGTCGCAGGAAGTAATTAAATGTATATCAGTTACTCAAAAAATGTGAGTATATTAAATGCACCTGGTTATAAATTGCTGGGTGATACCGTGTAATTTGTACCGAGTGTTCCAGCTTTGTTTTTTTTGTTTTTGTTTTTCCAGAATGATCAATTAATGACTTTAATATGGCTTATTACTCTTGTAATTAACTTCTCTTTCGTTTGGCTCAAATGATAATAAACTTATTCTCATCACCGGGTTTGGGTGGATTCTTTGTTGGGTTTACTGGGTTTAGAGGTGGTGTCACTACTTAGGTGGATTTGGGGACCACTAGGGTTCCATGCAAAGGACAATGAGAGAAGAGGATGACAAAGGAAGTCAAGGGTATCTGTGAGTTTTTAACTTCACTTTATTTTGTATTTTTTCTAACTGTTCCGATATGATTGTGGAGCTAACTTCTGTTATCCTCCCCATGTCCCTAATTCACAAGCCAAAAAAAAATTTCCTAGTCTACCTGCATATTATTAAATTAAATACTATAGTTGCAGAGCCATACTTTCTTGAGCTGACATATATCATTCCCCAACTGTAGCAGGTCAATTAGCCTAGTAAACTGCTTAATGCTTGGCAGGGTAGCTAGCCTCCATAGCAATGCCACAAGCACCATCTTTATCCTTAGTACCACGCTTCATCCTTATATTGCCAGATTCACCCCCGTCATTTGCCCATGAATTCTTCACAAGCCAGTACTTCTCACCATTTTCTACTCCATATCCAACTATAGTCATGCCATGATTGAGGTCCTTTCCACAACTACCAGAGAAGATACCTTTTGAATATAGATGAAAAATGCATAACTTCCAGCATCAGTTGCAACAGAGACAGGTTGATGAGCAACTGCAGTTATTAGCATATTCTCATTTCGAGCAGGTATGTTTTCATAAGCACATATGGTGATAAGGATTAAGGATAGTCTTTATCAGTGGCAAGCCCTCCATTTTGTGTGATGAATGCAAATGCTGTTTCCATGTCGCCACCGTGGCAGCCTTCATTCCCATTTCTATTATCACAATCTATCAGTTGTTGTTTGGAAAGAGAAACCAGCTTTCCTGTTTTTTATTTTGTTGATGCCTTCCACAGCTGCCACTGCAGAGAATGCCCAAAAACTTCCTGCATGAAAAGTTTGGTTCCATCATGTCAACTCAAGTCATAATTTGGAAAATGATAAAAACATGATGTTTAGCTAAGTGCTAACTAAGCATAAGGTAAACATCAAAAGACTTTATATGCGTTCCATTATAAGGAAATTCCTTAATATGTATGAAATTTCAAAAGAATACAATATACCTATAAATTTTACTGAGGTTAATCTATATAGGGAAGATTCACCTGGATTTGCTTTGTGTGTGTACGCGTAATGTGCATTTATTTATTGCAAGAAACTTTACCACAGTGGCCTTGATCCTTGATATGTGTAACTGCACCTCTTGTCTTCCAATCTATGATTTTGGCAGACCCCCATGATTATGGTACATGAATCCTGTCTGCAAATACAACTGTGGTTGATAACCCAGATACGTATGTCTAAACTCTTCATTTGTAAGATCTGCGAACTTCTTGTCTGTGAGCTTGTAAGAATAGTTTTGAGAGTTGTAGAACTCTATAAACTGAACATTTGCTCGGTAAATTTCAAAACAGATTTCCCATTCTTCAATATTCCCGTATTGTCGTCCATGTTGTTTCAGCTAACTTTCATACCTCTTCCTCATGACTTTTGGATCCGATGAATTATCATTGTGCATTGCAAGACAAACACTGATGATAGCAACGCTTAGTATTGTTGTTGTCTTCATGACTAGTTCTTGATGCAGGAGAGAATGACAGCATGCATGGATATTTAGGATAAACATTATGGGTTTATGTTGATGTCATGTTAGCTTTCTTTACGCATTGCGATGCACATTCATTTCCGTTTAAGAGGCGTTTCAAAAGCATGTTTATCTTGTCTCCATGTATTTCATGCTTGTAAGTTTGAACAAAGCATGAATTCTTTTTCATTTTCTCTTCGTGACCATAATACAGACGTATAGGTCTTGAACTTGCTTAAGGTTTACTACCTGCAGCAAACTACTGAATTTTGACACTACTTGGATATTTGATGGTCAATTTCCTCAATTTAAGATGTTTCAATCGGTGTGAACAGTTTGATCTTGTCTAGACATAGTTGTGATGCATTATTTCGAATACTCCAATTTAAAGTCACACTAGTAAAAAAATTTATTATAGTCTACGCTGATAACTAGTGCTTTATAATATTTGAATTTAAAGATTATTGAAGAAGCAGGGGTCATGTCCAGCTTAAGTTATAGCTGTCTCTGTCTCAGCACGTAAATTTCATGCAGAAGCTACGGAATTTGGCACATGGGTACATTTGACAACCTTATTCTATATTTCTATTATTTATTGCTAAATCAGATTGTTTGAAGTTTCTATGTTTCATGCAGAAGCTGTAGAGGAATGAATCGAAGGGAACGAAATAAAGTGACATTAATTTACATTGTTTGATTTGTTTAAAATATGATGCAATGGAATCTATTTATTTTATTTTATTTCACTAGATACCATTCGTTTGATCTTTCCTCCTAGTTTGGGATTATGGAGTGAAACTAATTTATTATTAACTAATTTCTCTATCATTTTGTACATTTTCTAAATAATGAAAGCAAAATATTCGAGCAATGATAATGTAATTGGTAATTTCAGTCTATTTCATTTATGCATGGATGTCCAATAGTATAGTGTATAAAAATGAATGGGATGGAATAAAATAAAGTTAAATATAATAATTTGACCATTTTATTTATATTTATGATAGAGCAGAAAAAGGACTGATTTCATCCCATACGTCAAATTAGACTTATAAAATAATTAAATGAAATTAAATGTAAGGCAATCCTTTTCTAAAATGAAAAGATGTTTAACCTGGGAAAATAATAGTATATTTATCTTTTATTCAAAATAGTTGAAATTCACGAGGCACTTGATGTTAAATTAGATATATCTCTTATTTTCTCACCTTGCAGTTTTTTCGTTGTTGATTTTTTTAAACCACATTGTGGGTTCGTAGAACTAACATTTTAAGAACCATAAATATGGCTACCCTCCAAATTGTTCAACCCATCAATTATAATTTATAATGGACGACAAATTAAAAGAAGGTTTAGCCATGTACATGTGTCACTTTCTTAAAAGAAAATTTTCAGCCTAAAATCTTCTCTTTCTTTTTTATCTTTAAATTTTTTATGTCCACCTCCTCCAAGTTCCTTCTCTTCTTTTAACTTACTTAATCTTTTCTCTTTTCAATCTTTACTCTCTTTGGTTATAGCCACATCTTTCCGCTTAAGAAAATCATCTCCGTTTCATTTAACCGTTTATTTTTTCCCTTTCAATTTTTCCATATTTAAACTAAATTTATTCTCTTTTCATTTTTTTATTTCTTTTATATATATATATACACACAATATTTAGAAAAAGATTTTGAATTGTCACATGTCAATCTCTTATTTTTTTTTTCTCTAAAAGAATCTATTCACTCACTTGCGCACACTTTCACTTTTTTAAAAAACATATTATAATATCATTTTGTAATATTTTAAAAAATATAGATAATTTAAAAATCTTATTTGTTCAAATATTTTGTATCCCCCTTTTTCTTTTCATATGATTTTTTTTACCATACCTGCTACTGTAGCATTATACACATTATTATTACTCTTTTAATTTTTTTTTTCATTTTTATAATACTTGATAATATTTTGATATTATAACTACAATGAAAATTTATTGTTTTATAATATATATGAGCATTTTTATATTCATTATTAGTATTATTTTTTATCTCTCAAAATGTCAATCACCTATTTCCTTTTTTTCCGTCTTTTCACTTACTTTTTACACACACTTATTTTTAAATTTTTTTTATTATAATACTATTTTATAATATTTTAAAAATTTGGATAATTTAAACAATCTTATTTATTCAAGAAATATTTCAAAAGCTTTCATTTTATATTATTATTTTGTAATACTTTGACATTATAATTACAAAAAAACTTTATTGCTTTTATAATATATGAATATTTTTATATTCATTATAAGCATTATTTTATCAATTCATATTTTAAAATTACAAAATATTTAAATCTAAGATAATTTAAATTCGTGTTAAATTTAAAATAAAATTTTCATACTATTAAAAAAACTCCCATTTTTTTTTTTTATAAATATTTTATAAATGAGATGGGTTGAATTTTCTAACTCACTTTTCTACGATGAGATGGGATTGGGGGTGATAGACTGACAACGCATAAAACATTTTGTTTTTCTTACTTTCAATAACTTTTATTAATCTATAGAAAATTTTTAAAATATTATTTATAAAATTATAATATTATAAATGTAAAAAAAAATTATTTACAATATATTTGTAAAATAATAAATGCATATATTATTTCACAGTTTAAAATTAAAAATATTTAAATTTAAATTAAAATCTTTTTATAATTTAAAATACAATTTTCATGTAATAAAAAATCTTATCTTTTTATAAATATTTTATAAACAGGGCGAGTTGGATTTTTTTAATTCACTTTACTAAGCGAAATAGTATGGGACGAGCAAGATAGGATAGCCCTTACAAGGTGTAATAGACTAACAAGGCAGGACATGGTAAATTTTTTCACTTTCACTTCTAATAACTTTTTATTAATACATAGGAAATATTCAAAATATTATTTATAAAATTATAAATATTATAAATGTGATAAATTTATATTTATAATATAGTTGTAAAATAATTAAATAATTTATTATTTCAAAATTTAAAATTAAAAAATATTTAAATTTAAGATAAGTTAATTTTTTAAAATTAATTTTTCATGATGTAAATAAAATCTTACATTTTTATAAATATGGTAAGTAAAATAAGAAATATATGTTAAACTATATCCAAGTTGAATGCTTCTATTCTTTTATTTTATTTTATTTTATTTTAAAATTCAAATAATTAATTATATTATTTCAGTATAAAAATAATTTTATAAATAATATTTTTAATATACAAAACAACTAGAATAACATGTGTAAATGCACGGGTATCATTCTAATTTCAAGAAGGAAAAGGCACAATATATTTGAGATTCTTTTCCTTAGCATTAGTTGGGAATTGGGATTCCACTTTTCAAGATTAGTTCGTATTCTTATTTTTTTTAATAAAAAATGATTCAAATTTCAAATAAATTGGATGAGTGAAAATTTAAGAAGTTATTAGAAATTTGAAATCTTTAAGATATTATTTAGATTTATAGAGTTTTATTTGTTTCAATATCTTTTAGAGATTTGTTTTTTTAATTAGGAGGATTATATGATTTAAATTTTGTATTATAGTTTTGCTCTATCGAGAGTGAATAAATAAAATCTGTATTTCGTTTAAGATTATTGGACGTGTGAGTAATCTTATTGTGTAAGGAGTTTTTTTTTCATTGGTGACATCAGAGTTATGGTATGGAACACACAAAAGTTTGAGACATCATTATTTGATGGTAAGACAAATTTTATGATTTGACAGTGTACGATTCAAGATATTTTACTACAACAAGGTCTTGGTCAAGTTTTAGAAGATGAAAAACCAAATACTATCAATGAAAGAGAATGAAGTCAGATCCAAATGAAGGCCATGGGAACAATTCGGTTAGCTCTTACTCTTGAGATCAAGTGCAACGTGTTAAAGGAGACAACACTAAAAGCCATATGTAGGAGAAACTTGAGAGCATTTATGTAACTAAGTCGTTAACCAATCGCCTATATTTGAAGATAGAGTTTTATCAACTTAGAATAGAGGTGGAAAAAAATCTTCATAATCACATTAATCATTTCAACCAACTAGTATGTTAGTGGCTAACTGTAAATGAAAAAATTTATGATGAAGAGCAAACAGTGTTGTTGTTGGCTTCAGTACCAAAGTTTTGTAAATCTTTAGTTCAGACGTTGCTTGTAGAAAAAATATCATTGAAATTAGATGAAGTAACATTCACTCTAAGAGAAAATGAGAGAATGATAAAAAATGAAAATATTAATATTGAAGGTCATCCACTAGTCGTGCAACATTCTAAGCAAGGGAGAAGTAGTTTATGGAGACAACATGGGCCTAGAGGGAGATTAAATTTCAATCATGTCTAAAACGAGATATGAATAATGTGCAATGTTACTATTGTAGGAAGAAAGGTCACATGCAATCAATGTGGAGAGAAATGATGACAAATCCTAGGCTAATGTAACCTAAAACCTTTATGATGATGAAAATGTCAATTTGGCAACTACTGAGGAAGTTATTAAATCAGAATGGGTAATGAGTTTTGTTGCCTCAAAACACATTTGTAGAGACCAATTGATGTTTCACACTATAAAACCTAATGGTGATTTTAGTCAATTTAAGTTAGAAAATGGTGAAAAAATGGAAGTTAAAGATATTGAGACTGTAAGAATGAAACTTTGATAACGGTGTCATCCAAAATTTTGAAAATGTGATATATGTATCTTCTATTGCATCCAATATAGTTTTATTGGAAGAATTGATATCACAAGATAGGTATGTTGATTCAAAATGGGATGCAAAGTGTACAAAGGGAGACACTTGATATTGTAAGGACAAAAGAATGAGAAAAATCTTTGCTATTTGGAAGGATAAGTTTTGAGAAGATAAACATTTTAATCAACTAGTTATTTTAAAATTTTAACTAAGGGAGGATTTGGTAATTCAAATTTCAAATAAATTTAGTGAGTGAAAATTTAAGGAATCATGTTAGAAATTTGTAATCTTTAGGATATTATTTAGATTTACAAAGTTTTATTTATTTTAAAATCTTTTATAGATTTGTATCCTGTTTTTTCTAATTAGGGGGATTATATGATTTAAATTTTGTATTATAATTTTATTCTATATATAGAGAGCTAAAAAATAAAATTTGTGTATTTTATTTAAGATTCTTGAACATGTGGATAATTTTATTGTATGAGGATTTTTTTTCCATCTTTCTTATACTCCACTGGCTACGTACCCTTGTATTAAAATGCATGGTAAATAGGATTATTATGAAGCAAACAACTTACAATTGGATCGTCCTTATAACCGATCGAGGAATATGAAGGATTTATTAACTTGCTGAAATTTTTGATTTTTGAAAATAATCATACATGACTAAGCTAAAGCTCTAAAATCAAGTGAAAAGTAAATTGGAGGGAACCAAGTTCATGTTCCACTTGTTTGATTGCTAAAAGGCTGATTACGAACAAAGACTCTTGCCCTTTTTTATTTGTTACATCTCATTCAATTTTATTTAGGCCAAATTTAATATTCCAATCGGTGAAATTTGGATGAAAGAATGTTTAAAATAATTTAATTGTTTTAATTTCTAAATATTTTAAGTAGAAAGACAAAATTTGACAGTTAATATGTAGTATATATAAAAGGAATAACTTCTAAAACAATTATTTTCCTCCAACATACTTTCATATATAAATTTTATAAAATAAAATTAAAATTGAGTAAACACTTAATTTGGTCCATGAAAGATGGTAAAAGTGATAGGTCCTTGAAATATTTTTTGTGATATCTAAATTCCTAAATTTTAATTATGTTATGCAAGTTAGTTATGTTATATTTAGTTACTAATTTTGTTAGTATCATGATTAGTCAACAATTAATTGTCATATTGACACTCACAGTTGGTATGCAATAATTACAAATTAAGTAGATTTAGGTACGTGCTTTAAGTAAGATTTATTTTCTCATTTAATTTAAAATTAATTAAAGTGACGTTTGAATATCTTATTTCTTTTCACCCATTCTCATTCTTGTATTCCATAGTAATAGAGAAAACTATTACAACCAAGTTCTTCCCCCTTCTACTAAAGACCAAAGGAGTTTTGTGATTTATAAAACACAGTAGAAACACCCATATTTAATTAACGCATCATTGCTTGAGATTTTTCAAAATAACTATTCATTTTACTAAATCCAAAATTCATTAATTTAGGATTTACAATCTCAAACTTGTATCAAAAAAGACAAATAAATTAATGATGATTGAGTCAAAAAAATTCAACTACAGGAATCCTTACGAAATCTAGTAACAACCATCCATTTTAATAGAGTACTCATGGTCAAAGTATTTAAATATGAAAAAGTATTTGATGCAGAATAAAAAGTAACACAATCTTGCATTATGAAATATTAAGTAATTAAGAGAGAAAACAACCAACTGAAAGAAATGATAGATGTCAACTTAACACTTAACTATTGACTATTTAAGAAATTAACATAGTTAGTAACTTACTATAATTAAAGGACTAACTTGTACAATAAAATTAAAATTTAGAGACTTACATATGTCACCAAAAAATCTTTCAAAAACTTTTCGGACATCTCTAATAACATCTTTTAAAGAACAAATTAAATATTTAATCTTTTTATATAGTTATGATGTTTAAACTATTGTACCTTGTATTAACTTAATCTGCAGGAAGCCGATACAACATGTTCGAACATATAGTTTATTTTAATAGTTTTTGAGTCGGATTTTTGAAAGAATACACTAGTCCTCCGGCCTGATGCAAAAGGCACAAAGAGACTTCATCAGGAAGTTTATCTCATGTTTCATTCTGGAATGTCTTTTCGACAATTTTTGGAAGAGTGCCGGATATAAACTAATTTAATATATAACAAATTGTTAGTGTTTTAATATTTTTTTTTATAGTATATATGAATTTTTTTTTATCTTTATCCTTTTATTAGTTTCAATTAAAAATGCTATACCAGCTCAAGGCCAGGAATATATGTGTGAACTGTGAAGTTTATTATAAGTAGTACGATTAGTACGTATTTCAATAGTATTAATCAGTAGGGTGTGGATAATTAATTAAAGGAGTAGCAGAAGGCAAGGCCTATACAAACTGAAGGATGCTACTATTAATTTATTAATTAATATTAAGTCCGTCCATTAAGATGCTACTAATCATGACTGAGCTTTTTTAAATACTACTTTTCTCCTTAAAAAACTACATTATTAATTCCAGTTAAGATAAGATGATGGAAGAAGGTACCTAGAAAACACAGACACGCAGAGATATGTACATCTTCAGAGAGAGAGAGAGAGAGGCATATACCCTACATGTGGGAATGGTTTGGAGACAAAGCAAAGAAAGCATAGTGCGTGCAAACAATTCACATGGGAGGATAACACGATCCTTCACAAGACCCCTCTCTTTTTCTTCTCTTTCACAGCTAGCTCATGCCCCAAATCCCACGAGTCCAAACAATTCTTCATATCTTAATTACTGTGTGTAGCTATCTTTTTAATGAAATGATTAACGAGACACTTCACCATCATAAATAATCTCATGATGCACATGGACTTTGTTCTCCCCTCTCAGATAAAGATCACAACCCATTTGGTTTCACCAATCACTAACCCCTCCTAGTGGGGTTGTCTTACCTTTTGTATTAGACCAAATCTTTAAAATCATACACAAAACGTGGATACGATTATTCATTCGAATAATCAAATCAATTACCTAATTCTGTGGCGCATCTCTTAATTTTGGTCATTTTTCCTTTTTAACCTCCTATTCTCCGCTATAATCTAATTTGAGACAGTTTTCTCAACCACACCTAAATTAGTCAACTATGTGCTTGACATTGTTGGACTCATTTTCCTTTCCATAATAGTCCAACTTAATTGTTGATCGATGTTGCAATTTAATAACCCAATAAACACAAATAGACCTTGTAATCGCATGCATATTATTGAGAGGGAAATAATGACCAAATTTGAAAGAAAGAAACGAGATTATTATAAGGGTATCCCTCTAAAGAGACGGTCACAAGGCACGTGGTGGCTGATTCCCACTAATTAATCCACTGGCGACTTTAAAGTAACACCGTTGAAATCCAACCCCTCTTCCCAGCTGTTCATAGCTGTCCAATCCCTCCTCATCCCCATGTGACCCCACTGCACAAACACATAGATACAGATACCCCAGAGATTTTATTTTTTGATTTTAGATAGACCCCAAAACAAAACCATTATTTATTTATTTATTTTTTACACATTTTCTCTTTTCAAAAGAAAAAGAAATTATCAAGAAAGTTTATGATTATGTTGTTTCTGTTCGTGTGCCTTTCTTACCTCTAACAACATTCCCCTGTGGTTGCTGGGAACATACATACATATATATAAACATGCATTTATGATAGGGCTAAAGCTAATATATGTTAGAGGCTCATTGCTTTCATTTCTTCTATACATATATGTGTTAGGAACATGTACTATTGCAACGAACAATATTAACAATAACATTAACATCCGAGGTTTGCAACGATTCCTGATTTGGTGAGTCACAAATGGCGCAATTACCTCCCAAGATCCCTAACATGTCGCCAAGTTGGCCAGATTTGAAGATGCCATTGCCACCACCCCTTAACACCACAAATTATCATCAGCACAATAATCAAAACCCTTCTTGGGTGGACGAGTTCCTCGACTTCTCCTCCGCCCGGCGCGGCGCTCACCGGCGGTCGGTGAGTGACTCCATCATGGACTCGCCGGTGAAGTGTCACGACGACAACAACAATGAGAATGCGTTTGACAAGTTTGATGATGAACAATTGATGTCCATGTTTTCTGACGAAGTGGAACTCTCCGGGGTCCCCATGCCACCACCAACCACCTTGTCCTCCTCTAACCCTTCTAGCCCCTCCGATCAAAACTTCTTCTATGATGAGAAAGAGAGCAACCACCAGAAGAAGGTGCAGGAGGAGGAAGAGAAGCACCATCATCACCATTATCAATTCAAAAGTGAAGCAGATGAGGTTGAAAGCCAATGCAAACAGGAAAATATGCAGCCTCCTAATGACACCAATACTTGTTCTTCCAATGAGAGAATTACTGACCCCAAGAGAGTCAAAAGGTACGCAGTAGTAATCAAACTTTCATATATATCATACATACTATATCTAATATCTTTATGCTTTTTTCCTGCTAAAGTTTGCAACAATATTACACGAAATTGGATAATGTGTTTTCTTCATAATATATCGAATTTTTTTTTTGTTTTTTTTAGAGATCATCATATTATTGGTGTAAATTATCCATCAATTTTATTGGTGATCAGTCTATATTAGAGTCTGACCAACTATTTTTAACAGAATTTTATTTCTTAACCAATTTTTTTATCTATAAAATTTGAACTCAATAGAGGAAATCCTACACATTGATATACCATATCTAATTTGGTGGGCTTGATGTTGCTATTCTAGTATAATGGTTAATTAGTGTTTATGAATTGTTCTTATAATTGAGAACTGGTTTTCACAATTAAAGTGGTATTTTTTTTCCCTGTTGGTTTGTTTCATATTTTTCGTTTTTTTTTTCTTTCTTTTTCTGCAACTGTAAGTCGTATTTTTTTTGCTGAGTTAGGATTTTTGTTTTCTTTGAGTTCTGTCTCTCATTGTCGTTTTGCATCAGAATCTTGGCTAATAGACAATCTGCACAAAGATCGCGAGTGAGGAAGTTGCAATACATATCAGAGCTTGAGCGAAGTGTAACTTCATTACAGGTTTGGGACGTAACGTGATGTGACTATAATAAATTTGTTCTTTTTCAAGTAAATTTTTATATGCATAATAAAAAAGTAATGCTATTTATCTTCAATAATTTTATAATACTTTTTCACAATTCACTTCTTTCTTATTTTTTAGGTTTAATTTCATTTTTATCTCTTTACTAATGTTATTTCGCGTATTTGGTTTTGCGTTTTTTAAAAATTTGATTCATACTATTCTAACCGTATAATTTTGATATTTTAACATTGAATATTTAAATTAAATGTTAACGTGATATTTCCATGCTCATGTGATATATATTTTTTAGCCCTGTTACTTAATTTTTATTTTTAAATATTAGATATCATTAGCGAATATAAAATAATTTCTCAATTAAAATATTAAAGAATCAAATTTGTGAAAAAAAACTAGAAAACCAAATTTGCAAAATAATTAAGAGAATCAAAAATAATTTTTTTGAGTTAAATATATTTTTAGTCTCTCAAATTTAAGATAAATTTATTTTTGGTCTCTTAAATTTAAAATTATTATTTTTAATCCATGTAATTTTTAAAAATCTTATTTTAGTCCTTCAAATCACCAATAACATATTTAAAAGTGATCAATTAAGACGGTTATGCAATATCAATTAAATTTAATGTAATATTTTCACTAACAAAGACACTAATTAAATTTTATGTAATAATGTTTGATAAATTTTTCAATAAAATTTTAATATAAGAACTAAAATAACATTTTTTGAAATTACAGAGCCTAAAAGTAATAATTTTAAATTTGAGGAAACAAAAACAAATTTACTCTAAACTTAAAGAACTAAAAACATATTTAAGCCAAATTTTTTTTATCTATTTTATCACTTATTTTATCTCATGTTTTCCTTTTTTATTTTTAAAAACAATATTTATATTCGTAAAGATGTGTTGTTAAAATAAGATTACTGAAGATAATATATTGATATTTTCCTAATTGGTTGACCAATGAAGGCCGAAGTATCAGTGCTGTCTCCAAGGGTTGCATTTTTAGATCATCAACGCTTGCTTCTAAATGTCGACAACAGTGCTCTCAAGCAAAGAATCGCTGCCCTTGCTCAAGACAAAATCTTTAAAGATGGTAAACTTCTTCAATCATTACTTGGATAATTAATTAACGAATGATTGAATTAAATATAATTATATGACCATCTTAACATTTTTATGCTTTGTTAACGGAGATATAGTTAATAATCTTCTTGTTAAGATGTGGTTAATTAGCACTCCCTATCTGTCTGTTTTCTTAGATGTCCATCGCCATTTTAGAATATTGTTTATTAAATATTTCTTTTATTTTGTCCTTAAATATTTATTGTAAAATAAAAAAAATATAATTAATATGAAAGATAAAAAATATATTAATTGCATTTCTTAATTCTACTATCAAAATCATTTTTTTTTACACAAATTATCAAAATGTTGAGCATCAAACAAAACAAAATAGGACAAGGAGTAGTTAATGGCCCTTAGGATCCATCCAACTTGTCTGATCAATATTGACAACTTGATTGAGGTTAATTCTCATTACCGTCCATTTGCATTTTCCAGATAAGGGAAATATAAATCCCTACTAGTCAGGAAAAGTGTACAAGTTCACAAGAACCTCACTTTGACAAAGGAACCTAACCTCGTGGCTTTTCTACTTAGTCATTGTAGTTGATTTGATATATCAAAGTATTTATATTTTATTATATTTTAAAATATATATTAGGTGGATTTTATTTTATAAAAATAAAATATTAAATTATTTTTTATTAATATAAAATTTTAAAAATACAAAATTTTTTAATTTAATAATTAAATTTATAAAATTTATATTTAATATAAAATTATTAAACAGTGTAATATATATTAAAAATTACATATAAAACTATTAAATGATATAATATATATTAAAAATTACATCAATATCATTTAAATCTTCATATATAATCAATATACATGTGATTTCTTCATATATTCTACATAGATTAGAACCTTTTATTGAGAAGTTTAAGTTTCTCAGACTTATCACTAGTAGACTACTATTTCGGTTCCCTGAATTTGCTATCAATTTGTTTCGTGAAATCTATATAAATTGCGTTAATCTAGTTCTTAAAAGATGGAAAATATTATTAATTAAATCCTCTTAAAATTGCCAAGAATTTAGTCCCCCAATAAATTAAATAATGACATCAATTTAATATCTTAGTCGTATGATTTGTTGCCAGAAAGATATGATTTCCTATTACCTTCCATGATTGATGGAATAAATTTTAGTCATTAATTTTTTTAGGGACCCACGTTAAAATTTGGATGCTTTGCATGCATCTCCATATGATATGTAGAATTTAGATAACTTCGTATGGTTAATTTGTTTAGTTTTGTTTTTAGACTTTAAGCACATTAAGCGCACGAGAAAATTCAAAGAAAATTTTGTTTAGTGTATTTTCGAGGCTGTAATTTTCAATTGATACTGTATAGTTTTTTAATGGTTAAAACCCTATTTTGGTCCCTTATAATTTTTTTTTGTTTCAATTTAGTCCTTCATTAATTTTTGGTTTCAATTTGGTCCTAAATTAATTAATTAGTTTCAATTTAGTCCTAAATTAATTAATTAGTTTCAATGTGGGACTTTCCGTCCAAATTGCTTTAACGGTGTTAATTTTTGGCCACGTGGACGCTACGTAGATGCATACGTGGCATCCACGTGGATGAGAATTTTTTTGAAAACACCTGGACCCAGAACAGTCCGTTCTGAAACCGAAACGGGCCGTTCTGGTTGCAAAATTAAAACACCACCAGTGAAGCAGAACGGGCCGTTCTGAAATCAGAACGAGTCGTTCTGCTTTCAAAACGGGCCGTTCTGAAATCAGAATGGGCCGTTCTGGTTTCAGAACGGCCGTTCCAAAACTGTGAATAAAATATTCTTTACTTAATTGTGTTTTTGATATTATAATTATGCAATTTTGATCTCTATAGTTTTAATTGAGTAATTTCAGTCCTTAAAAGATTATAATTGTGTAATTTTAGTCTCACAATTTTTAAATGAACAATTTTAATCTCTCAAATATCATAATTGTGAAATTTTAGTCTTTCTCATTAAAAATTTAATAATTTTAAAATTTTAATATATATATATATATAATGTTTTAAAACTATATAATTGTTTGTTTATTTAAATTAACGTATATT